AAATACTTCGAAGAGTTGGTATTTACATTACAGATAAATTTATAGTAAGAGCAACTGGGGAATCTCTTTTGAGGATAGGGCAATTATACAGAGTGCACATAAAATCTGGACAAATTGGAGAGAAAGATTGGTATAAAATGTCACAAAAAGGTGCTGGGCGAACTCTAAAAATAGATAGGCCTGAGATTAAGGAAAGACAAAGACAAGATTAATTATATTACAGTGAATCCAGGCAGAACAATAATTGATCAAAGACTCCGGATCCAAGCTAGATGTTAGAGTGTGGAAGAAATACTTCTGGGGTACGATTATTGAACTCACGGAAGTGAAAATAGATAAGACTGGTTTGAACAAAGGATGCTATTGACAAAACTTCGAACTGATTGACTTCATATCTCTCACCATGAGACACTCTGCAAGAAAAATATCTAGAGGCATATGTTAGAAAAACATGAGTATAGACCAGAAAGCAAAAGAAAAGTAGTAGTAAAAGAAAAGAAGGTACTCAATTTCGGCAAACAATGCTAACCCCAAGCCTGTTAGAAAAGGGAACTTTCTGAAAGGAACAAGTGTATAGTAGAGACAAACCTTAAACATTGCAGAAAAAGAAGCACCTGATGGAAACATTAACTCAAGACCAGGAGCATTTAAAAACTGAGGAAAGGCCATGTCTTTAGGAGGAAATGGCAGTAATGTGGTCCTCATTGGGACCCATAACACATAAGCCTCAGAAACACGAATAGCTGCTTCTATCTGGAAATCTGCCAAAAGTTATTCTACAATTGGAACTGATGTGGACACGAAGGGGAAGCTGTGCCCATGAAGTAAGTTTCTTAGGCTTAAATAATTCCATAGGCAGAGGCCGTTATAGCAACTACTGTGACTAAGATGCTACTCCTAAGACAAGATGGATGCTATGCCGTTAGACAGTGATCACCCCCAGTTGAGCATGAGGTTTAGAAGAACTGACTCAGTAAAAAAAAAAAAAAAGATGTTTGGAATTATTTAAAAGGGGGAAAAAATACCTTAAATAAGGCTTTATGATTGGTGCTCCCACCAATGCAAACTTCCGGACATTGCAAGAATGGAACACTCTCAGTTTCCTTTTTAGAGCACAGTGACTCACGCCTATAATCCCAACACTTTGGGACGCTGAGGTGGCCGGATCACCTGAGGTCAGGAGTTTGACCAGCCTGACCAAGACGGTGAAACCCCGTCTCTACTAAAAATACACACACACACACACAAATAGCCAGGTGTGGCACCAGGTACCTGTAATCTCCGCTACTCAGGAGGCTGAGGCAGGAGAATCACTGGAATCCAGGAGGCGGAGGTTGCAGTGAGCCAAGATTGTGCCACTGTACTCCATCCAGCCTGGGCAACTAGAGCAAGACTCCACTTCAAAAAAAAAAAAAAAAAAAAGAGTAACAGCAATAATGATAAGATGATGAGATGATGGAAGCTAATTTTATACTACTGAAACATTGTACCTTACAATGTTAACCAAGTGTCAGGCACTTGTTCTAAGAACTTTACATAAAATTCACCTAATGTTTGCAATATTATTACAGTAAATATTATAATTCCTATTTTATAGATAAGGAAACTGACTCTCAGAGAAGCTAAGTAACCTGTCCAAGGTCACGTAGTAAGTGGCATACCTGGGATTTGAATTCTGGCTCCAAAATCAGAGAAGTTAACCAACATTTTGTGCAGCCTCTTTGAGAGAGAAGGCAGTGTGCACTCGTCAATTTTTCCCTCAAGATACTGTAAACATAATGCCATAACTAATGCCTTAATGGGAGATTGCTTCCCAAGAAGTTAGGTCACAAGTTATAGAACCTGGTCAACAGTATGGGCCAACTGGCATCTTAGAAAGACTGACGATAATATTTTCTCTTCTCTGCCTTCCCTCAGTCTCTGTTATGGTCTTTGGCAACAGTCAATGTGGATCTGAATTATGCCAAACATAGGGTCCTGGAAACATCATTTTGCATGCAATGGGCACATTTTCTGGGAGTGGCTTCTGTTCTGAATGTGCTGGGTATGGTGCTGATGTTGTGATAATCATTTTGTTTGGTTGGAAACAAGGCATATGAAAATGTTAGTGTAGACCTAATTCAACTTCTGATGTCCTAAGGGATGACACCCACTCCAGGAGTCCAGACGGTAGCTGCTGGAGACATTCCAGCTCCAATCAGGCATCCAGAAGCCATCTGGCTGATACTGGGAAGAATAAAAATTAGGACTTTGATTTCTTTGCACTTTAACTTGAAGAGCTTGAAATTTTATTGGATTTTAACTCAAAAAGGTAAGATAATTTGATTTTGAAATTTGCTTCTGTGTAAACTTTAAAACTTCAGATTTTAATTTAAAATTTTATTCTTTTAATTTTACTGTCTCCACAAAAAGTTGATAATGGGCAAGAGCTAACATTCAAATTCATCTCTATGTTATTGGAATTTTATGATGAAATATATTAATCCTGTACTTCATCTCATTTCAGAATCTCCAAAAAAAATTATCAGAGAATATGCAACTATTCTGGACAGTATTGCTGGGCATAATTTGGGGTGGGAAATGAAATAGAAAGTGAACATTCAGTATGTCCAGAATGGCCTTGGAATCAATTGAATTAATGTAGTATTCTAACTCAGTTCAGAACCACTAGGGTAAACTTAACAATACTCATTATGATCCAGAAGGATCCACAAAGAACGAGGGTATGATTATTGGAAAGGATGCTTCATGGAAGTCCTAACAGACTAAGGATCTCCTCCCTTGAGAGAAAGAGTGACTCCTCTGGTTCACCATCATATAATAATTAAGCCAAAGAAGTTAAGAGATCAAAAAGTTTGGAACTGTTAGGAGGAAAGTGTGTGTTATTTAAAACCTCCCTCAAAATCAGACACTGTCCATATCTGTCTGCCCTTTGAAGTGTTTGTATAACATCAAACAGCTCATATATAATTAGTAAATAGGAGAATGATGTCAGAATGATACAGAAATTTGGTTTATGAATATGTGCTTTGTCCTAAACAAAGGAAGCCAAAAGGGTAGAAATAGAATTCTATCATTTATCAGGAATGAAAAAAAAGTATCTTAGCTTGGCTAATGTACTTACCACCCCAAAAACGTGCACTCTTGGCCTTATATAACTCTCTAATTGTGGGAATTTCATTTCTTCCTGTGCCTTCCTTAAAGGAAGCCCCACTGACCCAAATCTCCACTTCACTTCCATTTGCATTGTCTCACAATGCAGCTTTAATACCTTCTAAAGCAGCGCTCTGAGATGCCTACCCGGGCTATTTACATTATCTCCTAAGTTAATCATTATTATTTTAGATAGTATGATGGTTTTAAAGGTTAATAGATTTCAAATGGGGGTTTTTCCCAACCCTAGTTTCCCCATATACTGTTATTTTGGTGGGCATGATTTTGCAGAATGCATTTCTATGTGCCCTCCATCTTATTGGGTTCCACATCCCTGGATTCAACCAAGTATAAATGGAAAATATTTCTTTAAAAATAAAAATAATACAAGTTTAAAAACAATACAATGTAACAACTATTTATGTAACATTTACACAGTATTAGGTATTGTAAGTAAACTAGAGATTATGCAAAGTATAGAGGATGATGTGCATAGGCTATATGCAAATACTATTCCATTTTATTTAAAGACTTGAGCAACTGTGGATGTTAGTATGGGGGAGGCTTCCAGTAACCAATCCCCCACAGACAACAAGGAATAACTGTATTATGTACCAGAATGTTGACCATCTGTAGGAATATGGTATCTGTATACAGCAGGCATACTCTTTTCTACTGTAGAAAGGATAGATCTATACAAGAACCATAACAAAATAGCTTTTTCACATGTAACAAAAAAAAATTTCTTTATTAAAATCTTCTGGCCGGGTGCGATGGCTCACGCCTATAATCCCAGCACTTTGGGAGGCCAAGGTGGGTGGATCACGAGGTCAAAAGATCGAGACCATCCTGGTCAACAAGGTGAAACCCCGTCTCTACCAAAAATACAAAAATTAGCTGGGCATGGTGGCGTGTGCCTGTAGTCCCAGCTACTCGGGAGGCTGAGGCAGGAGAATTGCTTGAACCCAGGAGGCAGAGGTTGCGGTGAGCCGAGATCGTGCCATTGCACTTCAGTCTGGGTAACAACAGTGAAACTATGTCTCAAAAAAAAAAAAAAATCTTCTAGGGTAGAGGTTAAATTGAGTAATGACTCCTTCCATGTGGCTGGCCTCACATCAATTAAACTCTCTCTTTACTGGAAAAAAAGAAAAAAAAAAAAAAGGCTGTTTTTTTGGGGGGGTTCAATCAGTCCTCCTACCTTGGCCTCCCAAAGTGCTGGTGACCCTATAGGGTCACGCCTATAATACCAGCACTTTGGGAGGCCAAGGTAGGAGGACTGATTGAACCCAAAAGTTCAAGACCAGCCTGAGCAACAGAGGGACACTCCATCACTAAAAAAAAAAAAATTTTTAAGTAGGCACAGTGGCCTGCACCTGTAATCCCAGCGACTTGGGAGGCTGAGGTGGGAGGATTGCTTGAGCTTGAGAGCTCAAGGATGCAATGAGCTGTGGTTGTGCCACTGCACTCCAGCCTGGGCAATAGAGCAAAACCTTGTCTCAGGGAAAAAAAAATTGTCTACGGTTTAGAATAAAATCTAGAAACAAGCAATTTGCCAATCTCTTGGTCTTTCCAAAGATTTACTTGACAAAGTAAAAGTAGTTTAATATTATATCAAATGTGCTTATTTCTCATAGCATAGAAGGAAAATTTGAAATTATACCTAATTCTAAAAAAAAAAAAGCAATAGGGGAAAATTTTTATTTTGTGTATCTGTTGCTTTGGTACAATTACACTTCTAATCTGCACTTATAGTAAAAAGTAATTGCTATGATCTTAACATTAGACATTATTAAAAGGTATTTTTCTGATATGATACAAAGCAAGTAAAAAAAAATAGTCATACATCAAATCAAAAGAGTATCTGCATTCGTTTAAATTAAAAGATAACTTTCACATAAAACTTGACCTTTCTCAAGTTGAAGTTTAGAAGACCATCAAACACAAATGTTTAGGGACCTCAATCATTTGATGTACAACATCATAGAAATAAATAAAGAAGTTCAAAAACCTAATGTTAAGTGATCAAGGTGCTACAGACTGGAAGTTCCTCCAACAGGATTAGCTTCTTTACATATTTTAAGTCCAGTGAACTTGTAATGCTTCCACGTTAGTGGTTGCATAGGCTAATTTCACCTGGCATAAGCTTTTATAAGGATGCAAAAACAGAGGGCAAGGCATGCATTAAAATGTGATAATAGCATACTTCTGGGATATGTGAAGCATGAGGCATGAATCCGAATGCCTCTGGCATCCATGAAGTATCACATCTCAGAATCAGTGCTTTTCTGTTTTGATAAGTAATTCTGTTATGCCATATTTGGGAGGAGGGAAATCAACTTTCTAAATATGTATCTTTCATCTTTTTTCTTATTTATAAATCTTTCATCTTAACCAAAATTCCTTAGAGTTTCAATTCCAGCAGTTTATTCAAAGCTGATGTTTTAATTCCAGGTGAACTGGAAATAATTCAAGTCTAGTTAGGGTCTTAAGAAAATATGTTGTTTATTTTTATTAATGTAAGTTTAAGAGTAATTTCAAAATATTGTTGATCATAAAGAATATCTTAGGCAGAGTGATGGAAAAGGGGCGAAAATGCAAGAAAGGAAGAAATCAACTTTAATAATGACGCTCATTACCCCCAAAAAACAAAGAAAGGATTCTTTGAGTTACATATTCTGTAGGCAAATAACCTTATCTAATACTTCTAAATAATGAGTAGGTATCTACAGGAGATTTGAAATCTTCAGAAAAAAAAACACATAATAAAATGAAAAATAGTTATGATATCTAATACAAACATTTTTTTAAAAGATCAAGAAAAACAAATTTACTTTCTGAATACACATATATATAATCCTTGGCCAAAAAAAATTGAGTTAGAAACAAGTATCAAAATATCACAGTTAATATTCAGTAAGTATTAATTAAGGGTGACAAATTAAGGAAATAATCTTCCTTTTTTTTTTTTTTTTTTGAGACCCTCCTGGGTTCAAGCGATTTCCCTGCCTCAGCCTCCTGAATAGCTGGGACTACAGGCGTGCGCCACCACGTCAGGCTAATTTTTTTTATTTTTAGTTGAGATGGGGTTTCACCATGTTAGCCAGGATGGTCGCGATCTCCTGACCCCGTGATCCACCTGCCTTGGCCTCACAAAGTGCTGGGATTACAGGCATGGGCCACCGTACCCAGCCAATAGTCTTCTTTTATATAGTACAAGTCAGAAAATGGGAAATAAATGGAAGTATCCACTGTAGCCACATCCCAAAATCACTTCAGTTGTCTGGACCTAGCCTTGCAGTTAAAGGCATATTATTTAATATCTTGGCCCTCCTCAAGCATGAAGTTCAAGTTTGGATGAAGTGATAGAACCATGTCAATGACACATTTAAACTCACTAATGTGGTATTTCTTTTCAGAGGTTAGCAAAACAAAACAGTACTTTTAGAGATATTATATGGCTAATCTCTTTTGACAAAGACAATGAAATTATTTTAAAGCACATTTCATAACTTTTTTTTCTTGGCCAAAGATGAACTACTTTTAATAGTAGCTATTAAGATTGCCTGGTACAATTACTAGTAGCTATTAAAAGTATTTTAGAAAACAGTGTATTAAAAAAATAACAGCGGAACCAACTAAATGTCCAAAAGTAGACAGTTTCATTCATTCATGCCACATTTATGAGTGTCACCTATGTCCCAGGCACTGTGCTAATTACCGGTATTACAACAAAGATAGTCTCTGTTCTTGCCCTCTTTTATGTTATATTGTGGTAGAAACAGATCATGTGGGAGAGTCATCCGAGATTCATTTATTGAGTGCCTGTTCCCAGGAAGTCTGTAGTCTGGTAGGAATGGTGCATATACCAAAAAAAAGTAACAAAACAATAAACTAATTACACCCTGTAGGTAAAGTACTAGGAAAACAAATGTAGTTCTGACATAGATGAGACGGTGATGTGAAAAGACAGAGGGAAGCAGAAAGAGAGAGAGAGGACAGAGTACAATGGTTAAAAGTGCTGCTACTGGAGCCAGCCTGCTAAACTTTGAATCCCAACTCCACCACTTGCTAGTTGTGTGATGCTGAATAAATTACCTAACTTCTCTGCACCTCAGTTAATACAATAAATAGAAATTCTAGTTTCTCTGAGAACTAAATGAGTTAACATTTGTGATGAGCTTAGAACAGTGCCTGGTCCAGAATAAGTACTATGTAGTAGTAGAGTTAATAATGCAAGGACCTAATGAGTGAATTTTTCTATTGTCAAATTAATTCCTAATCTGTCAATTCTGTAACACGATATATATATATACTTTGAGGGACAATGATGTGCTACAGCCAACTTGTACTAGTCTGCAAAAAGTAACTGTTCTCCTCTCTTCTCCAAATTCTTTATTCAGTGACTTAAAACCCTTCCCTCTGAACTCAGTGGTATTCAGTGGTAGCCTGAGATTGGCCATGGTAGGAGCACCTACACCATGCAGTTGCTAAATGCTACAAATCAGGGCTTTTATTTTTTTTCAGAGTCAATTGTTAACATTTATCAGGATACCACTGACAGACACATTTAGTAGAGAGTTCTTCCTAGTGGCTCCAAACTGAACTACATCTAGAGTGGTATACCATTTGGTAACTTTTGAATAAGCTCTAGAAGTTTTAAATGTTTTCCAAAACATTTAACACCTTTATCTGATCATACAGTAATGCAATTTCTCTAATTTGTCTTTGGAAAGCTGTATCCTATATAAATTGGTTGTTACATTATAACATTTATTAATTATTTTTATTTAATTATGGTTTACTAAAGTTAAAATACCCATCAATTTTTTAAACATTCCAAACTTGTGCTGAAATAAAAGATTCCTAAAATCTTAATGTCCTTTTACAATTTCCCTTTGCATAAGAGTATTTATCCATGCTATAATTAAACTATGTTTTAGTATATGTTTTTCTTTTAAATGTCTAAAGCAAAAGCAAGATATAAATGTCTTTCAAAATATTATCAAATGGTTTACAAAAATCTTTGCCACTTACCTTTTGAAATATCTTCAATTTTTCTGCCATACAAATCATAAAAATATCTGGCTGGTAAATTTAGATTCATTCTCATTGTGCAAGTATCTAAAATCTGTGCAGAAAAATAAAAAAACTGTAAATAATTTAGTAAAGTAAACTCTGGTTAAAGGGAATACACATTTAAACTCCTTTCTATACTACACAGCTACTAAAAATTACATTGTAACATAAAATTTAATGATTTATAAAATGTTCTAATATATGAAATTTAAAAGCAGTTAAAATTGTTAGATCCCAATTGTACTTTAAAAAACACACACACACACTCAAGCATTAGTAAAAAAGAAAGAAACAAAATGCAACGAGTATTAAATAGTGGCTATCTATTATTTAATAAATGGTAGATCTTTAGAACTCTGAGGGATTTTTATGTTATTTGTGTAACTTTCTGTATGTTCCATTTATTTTACAATGAGAGAATACTACCTTTTAAATTAGATTTTAAGTACCTACTTTCTTTAGCTTTTAAATGTTTTCCAAGTGTCTTAAAATAAATTATAGTCTGATCACAGTTCACCTTGATAACTTACATGGTTTGCACACTAAAAACTGAACTTAATAATCACATTTCAGGTTTTTCATGAATATGAGTCTCAAAGACTTCAATGGTTTTTAATACACACTTTTTTAATATTATTATATTGTGTTGTTGTTATTTTACATGTAGCCCTTGAACCCAATGTGGCAATCATCTTTCCAACTTGAAGATTTTAAAATGCTTCAGCTAGAGAAAAAGTTCTACTCACAAGCTGAGGAAAATTAAGGAAACAGAAGGGGCTTGGGGAGTGTTAGGTAACCTGAGGCAGGTTACTAGGTTTTCAGAAGTAACTTCCAAAACATGAAACTCACCATATGTCATTTAAAAGTGCGAAATACATTCCAAATCAAAACTGAAAGTACTCTGCCATCCATTTTTACTATACCCAGCTATAATATTACTTTTCCATAACCAAGAACTACTACTGAAGGATAATGTTTTTGTTTTGTTTTGTTTTGTTTTGTTTTGTTTTGTTTTGTTTTGTTTTGAAACGGAGTTTCACTCTTGTTACCCAGGCTAGAGTGCAATGGCGCGATCTCGGCTCACTGCAACCTCCGCCTCGTTGGTTCAAGCAATTCTCCTGCCTCAGCCTCCTGAGTAGCTGGGATTACAGGCACGCACCACCATGCCCAGCTAATGTTTTGTATTTTTAGTAGAGATGGGGTTTCACCATGTTGACCAGGATGGTCTCAATCTCTTGACCTCGTGATCCACCTGCCTCGGCCTCCCAAAGTACTGGGATTACAGGCTTGAGCCACCGCCCCCAACCTCAGATAATGTTGATTATATTAATATGCTTATAGTAAACAGAATATCTTTTAACTGCTCAAGCCATCTTTCAGATGCTGATACTGTCTCTTTTTGCTTACTTCTGTCCCTACTTTATTATTGGAGCCCATAATCTAGTCCTTACCCCACCACTTCATTAGCTTTGTGAAAATGTATGTATTTCAATAGCTTAGTGTTTATATAGAGGCAAAGTTGTAGTTTCCTTTCATCCTGAAGAACAGCTTTCAAACATTGTGACTGATTTGGTTTATCTAGTGGCTCTATCAAATGACAGGTTGAATTTTAAAGGCAAATATTAAACTAAAAAATTAATTTGACAGACTGGTCTTTCTTGCTATATATACCAGAGGTTCTCAGCCCCTAATCTACTCCTATACATGACTAATCATGTCCCCATGTGTCACGTGCTCCCATGGCATTCACAGGGTTGTATATTCACAGGTTCTTGCACACTAGCTGCAATGCAGAGCACTGAGCAATTCAGAGCAATGTATTGCTGCTGTTTCTCTCACAATCAAGAATGCATACCTGCTCATTATTAGGAATAATGTTACAGGAATATTCTTAAACTGTCTCATTTATGAGGAAGAGATCATTCACAACATCAATGCTTTACCTAGTTAAATAACAAAGCACTTGTAAAGAACGTTAACAACCCTAGTGATTCTCTAAATGCTATTCTTCCTGCCTTCTTTTTCACTCTTGTGGGTCAATTTCTTCAGTGACTACTGCCCACAAGCTCACCTAGGACCCCCATCCCATGGACTGAAATCTTTACTAAAGATGCTGGGAGCCAGGCACGGTGGCTCAAGCCTGTAATCCCAGCACTTTGGGAGGCCGAGGCGGGCAGATCACGAGGTCAAGAGATGGAGACCATCCTGGTCAACATGGTGAAACCCCATCTCTACTAAAAATACAAAAAATTAGCTGGGCATGGTGGCGTGCGCCTGTAGTCCCAGCTACTTGGGAGGCTGAGGCAGAAGAATTGCTTGAACCCAGGAGGTGGAGCTTGCAGTGAGCCAAGATTGTGCCACTGCACTCCAGCCTGGTGTCTGGTGACAGAGTGAGACTCTGTCTCAAAAAATAAAAATAAAAAAAGATGCTGGGAAAGCAATGTTCAAAATATAAGAGAGAAGTATCAGGAAAAGAAACTGGAGTTTTGTCTGTGGCTTGAAACAAAAAGAAGAGTAGAACGTACTGACTGACACTGACATGGGATCCATGCTTGTTTTTATTTTAATAGTCTAATTAACACAGTTGGTGTCCGACTGGCAAAATTCTCCTGTCACTGGAGTGAAAGCGAAAATGGATCACTTTCACCACTACCCTCATTGACAGAAATACTCGAGGGAGATAATTCAGTACAAATTGCTCCTTAGCCAATCATGTCTGAATACTGTTAAAGATCTACAGTTGGTCTCATACACCCTAAGCAAGACACAATCTCCTCTTTACAACCTCACATTCTTTCTCTTTCCATTCCTTATGTTCAGTTCTCAAATTAAGTTATTACTGTATTTAAAAGTATAATGATATTCTTTGGTACAATTTATATTTCCTAGTTATGAGTGAAGGTTCAAATATCTAAATATCCTCTAAAGTTATAATTTACCAATTAAACTAAGTAAAAATATAATCTACTTGAAGATGGTCCCATTTATTTCAACCAAAATTCCAATAATTTTAAAAAATTATTTTAAATATTGCTGCCTTAATAAAATCAGTCCCTCCTTCCCTCACCTTGTAGTAGTTCACAATGTCTATTGTTCTCACCTTTATGTTCGTGAGTACTCACCTAAAAGTGAGAACGTATGGTATTTGGTGTTCTGTTTTTACATTAATTTGCTTAGGATAATAGGCTTCCAGCTGTATCCATGTTACTGCAAAGGACATAATTTCATTCTTTTTTATGGCTGCATAGTATTCCATGGTCTATATGTATCACATTTTCTTTATTCAATCCACTGCTGATGGTGATGGGTACCTAGGATGATTCCATGTCTATGCTATTGAGGACTATGCTGTGATGAACATATGAGTGCATGTGTCATTTTGGTAGAATGATTTTTCTTTTGGATATATACCCGGTAATGGGATTGCTGTGTCAAATGATAGTTCTAAGTTCTTTGAGAAAACTCTATACTGCTTTCCACTGTAGCTGAACTAATTTACATTCCCACCAACAGTGTATAAGCATTCCCTTTCTCTTGCCAGCATCTGTTGTTTTTTGACTTTTTCATAATAGTCATTCTGACTGGTTATACCACTTTCTAACTCAAAGATTCCCCCTTTCATTGAGCTAAAACATCAGTAAAAATGTTTGTGCAAACCAAACCTTTGTGCAAGTTTTAAGAGTTAACTGAGTTTTAAGACTAGCATTAGAAAATCAAACACTGAAATTTATTAATGCATGAGCAACACTGTCATTCCTTCCTACTTGCAGAAGGAACAATCTTTGCAGTGTTTAAGCAATGTTTGTCTTCAGTAATTATTTTCTCAGAGTAAATTATCAGTGGTAAGAATTAGTATCACTAGTATCACTATAAGTTTCTGTCAAAAGCCCTGAAATGAAGCTTCTACTCTAAGGTCATTCTTATAATTTACAATTGAAACATTATGGTGTCATCTTGCCGTAATATTAAGGTTAATTAAAATAGCATTTTTACTAATCTGTACCTGTTAAGCTTGTTAAAATATTACTTTTACAAATTTGCATTTTGTTATTTCTTTTTTTTTTTTTTTTTTTTTTTTTTGAGACAGAGTCTTGCTCTGTAACACAGGCTGTAGTGCAGTGACATGATCATGGCTCACTGCGTCCTCAACTTTTCAGGGTCAGGCAATCCTACCACTTCAGTCTTCTAAGCAGCTAGGACCACAGGTGTACCCCACCACACTCAGCTAATTTTTAAATTTTTGTAGAGATGGGATCTACTTATGTTGCTCAGGCTGGTCTTGAGCCCCCTGGGCTCAAGCAATCCTCCTGCCTCAGCCTCCCAAAGTGCTAAGATTACAGGCATGAACCACTGCACCTGGCCTGTTAATTCCATACAGCTTAAGTTTTAGAAACTCTTCTGATACTAAAATTTTAAATCATCATGCTGTAAAACCAGAATCTTCTTGAAAAGCACCTGGGAAGAAATATTCCACAATCTTTTCAGTTTAATCTACTTGTTTATGATCTGGGAGTCACCTCCACCTCCAAACATATCTGGTACAGAGTTTGCAGCTCCTGGAATGGCCAGTACCTGTGGGTTGCCACTACCCCGATGAGAGAATATACTTAGACCGACATCACCGCAGGTCATATGAACCAGGTCAATAAGCCATCAGACTCAACAATGTCAGTTTTCCTCAAAGACAGAGAACTTTGAAACGTTTTAATATGGTTTTATGAGTTAATGCCTGGAAGCATAAGCCCCAACTTATACTTCCCCAACACACTCTTTTCAAAGGATTCTCTACTGCAGGAGTTAGCAAACTATAGTCCAAAAGCCAATTCCTATCCATAGTCTGTTTCTGTGTGGCCTATAGGCTAAGAATGGCTTCTATATTTTTAATTCTTAAAAAAGAAATCGAAAGATGAATTATATTTTATGATAGGTATATTATGAAATTCAAATTTAAGTACTTAAGAAAGTTTAAGTTTTCTTGTAAAACAGCCACACTTGATCATTTATGTATTTTCTATGGCTGCTTTCATGCTATAACAGCAAGGCTGAGATAGT